GATTAATCGGATTTGATAGAATATGCTAACAATCTACTTATAACAATATTAAATATAAATCAGTCCTAAATCAGGTCAACCTTGATGGCAAAATAATTGAGCCAGATTAGCCTATATGTAATTTACTATTAAAGGAAGCATAGAAAATGTTACTACGTAGAACAGCTTTTGATATAAAATTTCAATCTATCAATATCCATTAAGAATAAAAATACTATATTCGCTTTTGTTCCTGGTTTCTACTCCGACTGCGTCATGTAGCTACCTTATTTTTAAAAATCTCCACTCAGCTTAATTTCAACTAAAAAATAAATGGCTGTGCTATTAAAAATTATATAAATATTAAAAATTTCAAGCTTATTATAATAGCTTGTACTTAACCATCTTACAATAATTTGTATACAATTATTTAAATTTTTTACATTGCTCATTGTGATAAATATTTAATCTTCAGCCATCTGTTTTATATACAGCACAGCCGTAACATGCAATTTACTTACAAAAATACATCATGGTAAAAAAATATCTAATTAGTAAAATAATTCAGGCTTGAAAGGATATTAAAGTTTGCATTAAAATATTTTGACACTATAACATTACGGCATTGCATTGCGGCATTACGGCATTACGGCACAAAAGAATTACGGCAAAAAATACGGCACATGCCGTTGCCGTATTAATTTACAAAACCAATTCTACCAACAACTATAGTACTCATCCCAAATATTTAACTTTGTCTCTTTTTAATTTTTTATTACGTCTCTTTTCAATCTTTTTATTATGTCCCTCTTTGCAATATTGTTATTGACCTTTTCCAAATAGTTTCATTGCGCCCCTCCCAAATGTTTTCATTTGCTCTTTCATTGTGCTCCTTCCTAATTTTTATTGGACTCTTTTAATAAGCCATAGTCCTTTGCATTTTACATAATTTACAGTATGAGGGACAGTATCTCGGCAATACGACAATACAATATTCTTTTAATATTGATGCTAATACTGATAAGTAATATAGCAAATTTTTATAGCAAATTTTATAGCCACATTGATTATGTAAATAAATTACAACGTCAGCCATATCTAAGAAATTATAAATTTCCGCTATTTTCTTCAGCGTTCTGTTTTTTTTTCAAGAGAAAAAAAATATCGTCTTCAAAATGTTGACAAAATTTTATTTAAAATTTATCATTGCTGCTTTGGCTTTTATTACCATTGTCATCAATCCTGCCCTTACTATGCCTAACGAACGTTCGGAAAAAGTATAGTTTCATGTTATTGTTAATAAAATCCATTCATGAATTAAAATCTTACAACTAAATAAACCTTCTTCGATTAATTATTTACTGTATAAATTAAAATAAATAGAGAGTGAGTATAAAAATTAATTTAAAATTAAAAGCTTTGAAATTAAACGAACCTTCACTAATAAATTAAATTATTAGAACGTAAGTATAAAATTAATTTATAAATTAAAAACTTTAAAATTAAACAATATTTTAATAATTATATATGTTAAATTATTAAATTAAAAACTTTAAATTAAACAAAACTTTATGATAAATTTTATGTAAATTAAATTAATAGCCTGTGAGTATGAAATTAATTAATAAATTAAAAGCTTTAAATTTAAACAAAACTTAACTAATTTTATGTAAATTAAATTATTAGAACGTGAGTATGAAACTAATTTATAAATTAAAAACTTTAAAATTAAATAAAACTTCGCTAACTGTATAAAATCAAATTATTAGCCCGTGAGTATGAAATTAATTTATAATATAAAAACTTTAAAATTAAACCAAACTTCACTAATTGTATATAATTAAATTATTAGCGTGTGAGTATGAAATTAATTTATAAATTAAAAGCTTTAAAATTAAACAGAACTTGCCATATTGTATTAAAATTAAATATTAGGGCGTGAGTATAAAATTAATTTATAAATTAAAAACTTTAAAAAATTGAACAAAGCTTGCTAATTATATTATAAATTATTAGGGTGTGAGTATAAACTTTATAAATTAAAAACTTTAAAACTAAACAAAACTTCGCTAATTTTATGTAAATTAAATTGTTAGGACGTGAGTATAAAACTAATTTATAAATTAAAAACTTTAAAATTAAATAAAACTTCACTAATTGTATATAAATTAAATTATTAGAATGTGAGTATGAAAATGATTCATAAATTAAAATTAAACAAAACTTCACTAATTGTATATAAATCAAATTATTAGAAAGTGAGTATGAAATTAATTTATACATTAAGAACTTCAAAATTAAATTTTACTAACAAATGTCAAATTTTGTTTAAAATTTATTATTATCGTGGCTTTTTTATCATAACTTTGCTCTTATACCTACTAAGCGTTCGGGAAAAGTATAGTTTCATGTTATTTTATGTTTAATAAAATGTTTAATTTTACATTATTTATATTAATCTACGATTATATAATCATTAGAGAGTGGGTATAACAATCTAGTTTCATGTTATTTTATGTTCAATAAAATGTTTAATTTTATGTTATTTATATTAATCTACAATTATATATTCATTAGAGAGTGGGTATAAAAATCTAGTTTAATTAAGACCTAAAAACTTTAAAATGAAACAGAACTTCACTAATTGTATATATAAATTAAATTATTAGATCGTGAGTATGAAATTAATTTTATAAATTAAAAACTTTAAAATTAAATAAACTTTGCTAATTGTATATAAATTAAATTATTAGTGGGTGAGTATAAAATTAATTTATAAATTTAAAACTTTAAAATAAAACTTTGCTAATTGTATATAAATTAAATAATTAGGAAGTGAGTATAAAATTAATTTATAAATTAAAAACTTTAAAATTTAAATAAGACTTTGCTAATTGTATATAAATTAAATTATTAGCTCGTAAGTATAAATTAAAAACTTTAAAATAAATAAACCCTCATTAATTGTATATAAATTAAATTATTAGGAAGTGAGTATAAAGTTAATTTATAAATTAAACTTCAAAATAAAACAAACTTCGCTAATTGTGTATATATAAATCAAATTATTAGTATGTGAGTAAGAAATTAATGTATAAATTAAAAACTTCAAATTAAACGAAACTTCGCTAATTGTATATAAATTAAATTATTAGCCCGTGAGTATAAAATTAATTTAAAAACATTAAAATTAAACAAAACTTCGCTAATTGTATATAAATAAATTATTAGGAAGTGAGTATGAAATTAATTTATAAAATAAAAACTTTAAAATAAAATAAAAATTTGCTAATTGTATATAATTAAATTATTAGGAAGTAAGAAATTAATTTATAAATTTAAAAGCTTTAAAATTTAACAAAACTTTGTTAATTGTATACAAATTAAATTATTAGGCTGTGAGTATAAAAAGTAGTTTATAATTAAACTTTAAAATTCAATCAAGGTTCACTAATAAATTATACATAATTTAAAGGAAATTTCTATTGACCGCTTATAAACACACGGGCATATTGATAACTCAAATCCTAATAATAAAACAGCTCTTAGAGTTCTAGCAAAAAATGTCCTTGTAAAATTTTAGTATAAACTATAACTTTTCTAACGAAAGCAATCCTTACTCTAACTTTAAATCGGATTTACTTTTTTGTTTTTAAATGGATCTGTTAATTAATACCAGTGTATATGCTACGCGTCATTTTTAAATTCTTTCAATTACTAATTGACGCATGTCATTTTTCAATCGTTACAAAATTTGCAAACTAAAAAAAACTGCCAGAAGTATTTATTATACGTATTACATTTAACCGAAAATATTCAAATTTATGCAAGACATATTAAATTTACTAATGAAACTTGAGTTTAACGAAATTTTCTTTCTACGAGATCAAGATTTAATACTACAATTCGATTTTCGCAACTGCGAGAATTTGGGCTAGTTTTTTTGACTTGAGCCAACATCATTAGAACGCAATCCAAAATTTCCAGAAACGGCCTGCATTTTTGCAAAATTATACTGATCACGAAAACTATCCTGGACAAAAAAAAAAAATGAAAAGCACAAAAAATATGGAAAATGTTTGTCTAAATCTATTATGGTGCACTAACAAAAAATGCCAGGATGCAATTTTACATAGGAATACACATAAATCTAATAAAAGCAGCTTATTTATAATGCTAATTAGATAAGTAGTTCTAAGCAATATCCGGAAAATTTGTACAGCATCCTAATACAGTTTACTTTATTATTTGTACCGTTACTTCAATTCAAATTATTTCAGTAGAATTTTAATTTAAATTCAAATTTATTTTTTTATTTACTTATTTTGGAAATGTATGAGTTAAGCATACTTCAGTTAAGCGTTCTTGGGTATTCTTGAGTTGGGCTGAGCATTTTTGGACATTCTTTAATTGAGCTTTCTTGTATTGGTTGTTCTTGAGTTGGACATTCTTTTATAGTATAAATTCTATAACTTGGTGTTAAACATTATAAGTTTGATATTCCTGTATATTATGAATTGAATGTATAATATTTTGCTTAACAAAAATTTTAAATATATTAAGACATTCGTTGTAGCATTTTCTATTTATCAAAGTTTGTTTGTTTTTTTTTGATTTGTATAAAATTTTAATATTCAGTTAAGGTTTTCCAGCTCAGAAAAGAATAACTTTGTGGATTTATTTGCAAAAAGAAAAAAATTTCATAAAAATATATGATGATGTAAAAATATTTTTAAAATTTATTTATTTATTATTATTAGTATCATTAATAAGCATTCATTATAATATGATCTGCATTAAGAATTGATCTGAATTAGAGATGGACAAGGTAATAAAATACATAATCATTACTTATTTTTTACTCCCTTACTAACTATTACTAATTATTATGTATTGTTAAGATTGCATAGTGATTATTAATTATTACGTATATATTGTATCACTAATAACGATGTATATAATAAATAATAAATGAGATTAATAATTATCAAATACCAATACCATTGTCTTGTATTTTTGCAATGCCAAATTGGCCACCACCAAATCCTGAAATACAACATTTGTTGCACAAGCTTTCAAATGGATCTGTTGGTCATCTCCTGGGTCCTCTTTGGCAAGCTTTTGACCCAATTAAGACTGATGATAAAAAACCTAAAGCTTGCTGTATATTTTGTAACCACAACAAGTCTATATCCAGTACTGCAGCAATGATGATTTCACATATTAAAAAATGTGAGAAAATTCATCCAGATGTCTGAATTTACCTTATTAATGCTCACAATTGTCAACAAAAGTTAGTTCCAATTATTGAATGTAATCAGCATTAAGATAATTCTTATTCATCAGATGGATCGATTGTATCTTTTATATCAGTTCCAAATTGTGATTCTGTTTTAACTTTTTCTGATAATAATATGAGCAAAAACAATAATATTTTTAAAAATACAAGCCAGATACCTACACAATTACCAATAGATGTATGCAGATCTAATTGACTATTATTAGAAGATATTATAGAAGATGGAGCATCTCTTTTACTTGTAAATGCATGCAAATTTAAAGAATTTGTTTATTCTATAAATAACTGATATAGTGGAAATAACATAATTATGTTATTTCCACTTAGTCTAGGTTATTTCCACTTAGGTATGATGACAGAAATGCATTACCGTCTTCAGTGTTGTGACGACAGAAATGCGTTACTATTATAGAGATGTATTAGTATTTGCTTCATTATTCGAGTGATGAATGATTCATACTTGCATCGTCATTCGAGTGACGATTGGTTTACGAGTTCGTCATCACACTTGAGTACCCATGACTCACAAAAATGTGATGACAGATTTGTGTTTGTGTTATCATACTGCATATATCGTGCTGACAGAAATGCAACACCATCGTTAGTGTCTTTCTGCATTTTTTATTATAACCCAAATTCAATAACATTATTTGTATACTGGTTTGGTAATCGTGATCGATTTCTGCCATTAGACTATATGGGTAAAAAATATATCTGACAGTCATATATCGTCATTTGTGGGTCCGATGTGAGGACTATGCCCGAACCTGGCATGTAGTGCCTTAGCTTTTTGGTTAATTCCTCAATTAGGGCCAGAGTTGAGGCACATAGTGCCGAAATAGTATTCATGACCTTATGCCAGCCTTGACATATTACTGAATCAGCTATCAAAAAATGTTATCGAGTACGTTATATTAAAGTATACTGATTTTGATTGGCATAATTTTTGATACCAGAAATATGTCCTAAGAAAATACATAGTAAAAAAGTAGGTTAACTATATAGGAAGGCAGGTATATAACTCCCATAATTATTATATAATATTACCTAAGTTATAGATCCTGAAAACATATATTGAAACGTGGTATATAACTTCCATTTTTCTTATATAATATTACTGAACTTATATATCCTGAGCACACACTATCAACTGGGTATATAACTTCCATAATTCTTATAATATATTACTGAACTTATATACCCAAAGTATTCACTAATTGAGATTGCAATCCTCTTCATTCATCTTACTAAAACTTGATGCATTCTTCTTCTATAATTATTATATAATATTTCCAAAGTTAAATACTCTTGACAACATACCAAAAGCATACCTGATATATATGCTAAGGTGGTGTGTTTTTCCATTTTTTATATATAAGGCCTTGCCCATTCTTCGCATAATAAATCCGCAGATTATACCACCTGAACACATACCAAAAACATACTCCAAACCATATCATTAAAAGGGTATTCTTCTTCCATTTTTTATATATAATATTTCTGAAGTTAAATACCCTGACTACATATCTAAAAATATACTCGGAAACACATCATGAAATGGGTATTCTTCTTCCATAATTTATATAATATATTTCTGAAGTTAAATACCCGATCACATATTTTTTGCTATCACTTACTATTGCAGAGCAGGCCATAGGTGATTCTCTGAATCATGGTTCTTTGAACCTACATCTGTACCTGGCCTAGTTTCTTAAGCTTTTTCCTATGATACACCGACCTTGCTCGATATTTTTTAGCATGTATATCACAAAAGTCATAAGTAGATTATGTCAATTTACCACACTCTTTGCAGGGTACACGTGCAGAAGAATCCCAATGAACTTTACACCCTTCAGGCCGATAGCAACCTTGATTGCAAACTTCTCCAGTCCTAAGAATATAGGGACAATGATAAAATGCCATAGCTATATACTAGTCGATAAAGATATTGATAATTATACTCTGGAATTAATTTTCATTTTAAACTTTTTCCTTGCAAATAATATACCACCAATACTATTATAGCTAAAGAAAATATCAATACAAAAAATAAGCACACAAAGTGCACAACTCGAGCGGTACGGGAGCGGGGAAACTTTAGCCGGGATTCCAACTCGTAATGATATTGTGACTAAATTCGATAATGGGATGACCGCTGTGCTTCAACAAAGCCTATTTGACAAGCAATCTATACATTTCATGCCTACAGATATAAGTGATGAAGCTGAATATATAAAAGGAGTATCTACTTATATTTTACATATTAGTAGTGCTTTAATTAATAGGCAAAAGGCAATTGTGGATATTACAGGTATCAAACCCTTCTTTGATGTTGAAGTACCTGAGACCACAACTTACCCCTTATCTGTATTTAAGAGAAGATTGATAAATATATTGACTATCACCTTCAAAAACACATCAAAATTCGGGATCGAGACTATTAGTGCTTTTCCACTTTGAGGATATCATACAGAAAAGAAATCATATATACATGTTACTACTTGGAATCATTTTGATCGATATAATGCATTAAAAGCAGTTCATGAAGTTGGTATTAACACTGCTTCCGATGACCTGAATCCTACGTGTTACTATCGCAAAGTAGCTCATGAAGAGAGAATACCTCTTTCAAGTTAGGCAGTTTTAAGTAACTATTCATATAAATATATCGGGGCTTCATTACTAAATATTTATTCCTTCCAGGTATCTGTAAACAATTACAATCCAATAAACGATGACGACTATAATAATCCGTTAATTTCTTTAGCGCTTACAAGGGATCAAACCCTTATTCTCACATGGGACATAGAGACATATAGTTCACTCGGACAAGGTAATTTTTCTACTGCGCAGAGCAATGAATCTAATGTATTTATGATCTGCATGTCAGTTCATTGGAAAGACAACCCCAAACCACTAAAGCAAATTTGCCTTGTTGATGTTGAAACTGTGCCAGATCCGCGATGGGTAACAATTATATGCGAATCTCAGACCAATTTATTAAAAGCATTTGCCTTGTGTTGAAACTCTTAGTCCTAGATATTCAAATAGGGTTTAATAATTCACAATATAATTGGAGATTTATTGTGGAGAAGGCGAAAAAGTTAGGGGTTCTCGAATGGATGTTCAATCAAATGTCATTAAAGCCTTTAAGCCTCGAAAAAATTACAAAATAGCAATACTAATATAATGTAATAAAAGTTAATGATAGGAATTTTCATTCAAAACATCTTAAAATTCCTGGATGTGTGGCAATTGATGTCTGATCGTGTTTTATGAAATTTTATTCTAAGGCTAAAAAGAGTAGTTTAGCATATTACCTAAAGGAGTGTAAACTTGACAACAAACTAGATATGCCTTCCCATCATATGTTTAAGTATTATAGAAGAGCATAAAAGAAACTAATGCTACAATGGTTGAGCAGATGCGTGAAGTAGCTGAATATTGTGTTATCGATGCTGTTAGCTGTCAGCGGTTAATCGTAAAGCGTAATGCAATTAACGAGTACAGGGAGGTGTCATCTGTAGCCTTCATATCATTATATGATTCACATTATTTTGCAGTAGGAATGAAAGTGCGTAATTTTTTAAGTGCTAGTGCATGGCAGGAAGGAATTTTAACCAGTACAATTTCATATGAACAAACAGAAACAGGAAAATACTCTGGAGCCTATGTTTTCCCATCAGTAAAAGGTCTCAAAAATAGACATCCTGTAACTGGCTTAGACTTTGCATCACTATATCCGAGTCTTATTATGACATATAACTTATCTTCCGATAAAATTATTTTATCTCGTGAGCATGCAATATCTGTAGCACGTAGTGGTAAGAAGCTCCATAGGATTGAATTCGAGTTTAATAGTCACGATATTATTGCGTGGTCAGTAAAACATGAAAATCAATCGGAAATAGAAGGACTTTATATAATAGTATTGAAAGAGCTACTTATGAAGCAGAATAAGATGAAGAAATGTCTCGCCCCATTAACTGAAAAAAAGAAAAATATGGAATTAATATTAAGCAATATAGAAGGAGAGTGAACGATACCAGAAACTATTGAATATATCTTGAAAAATGCAGAAAAGGAAAATTGCGATAAACTTACTAAAAAATTACATCCTTTTATTAATAAAAATAACCATGAATTTATGGTAGAATATAATTCCATCTGCTTCGATCACGCCTGTTTAAATGCAAAGCAGACTGCTTTAAAAGTGTATATGAATACATTTTATGGTGAAGCTGGGAATAGTGGATCCTCTTTCTTCTTACTTCCATTAGCCGGAGGAGTCACATCAGCTGGTCAACGGAATATTAAGCTTGTAGCAGATTTTGTTAAAAATAAAGGCTTCAAAATAAAATATGGAGATATGGATTCTTTATATTTAGTTTGTCCAGAAGAATATTTTCAAGAATGTGATACAGCTTATGATAATGGAAACAGAATCTCGAAAGAAAAATACTGGAATGAAATGGTAAAAATTTCTATGAGAGTAATGGAAGAGCTTTGTGATGAGGTAAATGAATTTCTTAAAAAAGACAACAGAGAAATTTATTTGAAAATGGCCTATGAAGAGGTTTTATTCTTAGTAGTATTTACAGATAAGAAAAAATATTATGGCATTCAACATATAGAAGAACCTAACTTCGATTCAGATCTTGATAAGCTTTTTATTAGAGGTATAGATATTATGAAACGAGGACAGTCTAAGTTCTTTCACGAAATAGGTAAGAAGATTATGCGAGAATCTATGGAAATTGATAACAATAGAACATTATACTAGATTGTTGAAGAGGTCCTTAAAAATACATTAGAAAATTTATCTCAGATAGATATTAATGAATGTGTTCGAACTTATGCATGAAGGCCTGATAAAGATAATAAGTCTGTTAAACGTTTCATTTCTCGAATAGAATCTAATCACGCTCATGAGGTTGAGAAGTTCAAACAGCATATAAAGAAGAAATTAACACCCGATCCATATATTTACGATATCCCAGAACCTGGAGAATACTTTGAGTATATAGTGGTGGAAAGGGAAGATTGATATGATGAGTATAGAAAGAAAATATCATGAAAAGTAGAAGAATGTATGGAATACTCAAATGTGGTGAAAAATCTTAACAAAAAGATAGATATCAATTATTATCTAAAGAGTGTAGTTGGTCTCTGTGCCAGATTTATAAATAGTGATAAATGTTTTGAACCACTCACTGATAATGGATCTTTAATAAACATTACTACCTCTGATGAACTTTGGATGAAAAAGGATGAATTAGAACAGAAATCAGCAGAGAGGTGGATTAAGGAATATATAAAAGATTTATGTAATGCACTGAAAAAAGATGAAGCCATTATCTCCCATTTATGGAAAGATGCTATTATTCACGCAGAAGGAATATACTCTAGCATTGGCAGAAGAGATAGGAATATAGATTATACAACAAATAATGATTACCTTAATGCGTTAGACAAAATTACAGACTCTACTCAATCTAAATTATCAATCTACTTTTAGAATTGTCTAAGCTTAATGTAGAATATAGAAATGCAATGTATGAATTAATTATGCAGACGCAAAAATGTAAACCTGAAATTACAATTCTGGAACAATATATATTTCTATATGATTTGGGATCAGAATGCAAAGCATTAATGGATTTCTGGAATACATGGCACAAGGTGGTTGGTCTTAAGTTCACCCATCTTCAAGTACTACCAGTTACACAAAACAGTAAAAAAAGATGACTCATCTGAAGCAGATATTAATGAGATCATCGATCTATATTGTTAAGTACTCTATTAATACTCCCTAATATTAGTGATACTTATACATTATTAATAATATTTTTTCGTATATAAATAATATCCAAGTTTAAATAGACAGCCTGTTACCCGATCTACATATCCCGCAATCGATTACTTTTTTTATGACTCTTTATTTCAAAGAAATGGCTCTTTGAGCCTAGAGTCGCTCCTTCGGGCCTGCAGAGCAATGACGCTTCGAGTCTACCTATATTTCATATGTGTCTCACAAACTACACAACCGCAATAATTAACAGAATAAGAAAAATATATACTAATAGTGGTGACATTAAAGTGTTTGCCATAGCAGAAAAGGGTAAAGTCTTGAGACTAGGTCTCATCTGGGCATTCGATTTAATCAAAGAGGACATATGTGGTTTAGCACTAATTTTGCTAATTCTAGTTTTATCGCTTACCTTGGAGTTGATCTCAGTATCATTTTTTGGTAGTTCGATAATCTCAGCATTGATTTTTTCAGCTTGATCCATATTTTTTCCGTGTATAAAATACTTATTTAGATTTTTGCTAGGTTCAATAACTGCAGATATATCATCAGACTTGGTCATATTTTTTTCATCGTTTCCACCAAGTATGGGGTTTGATATAGCCTTCAATTTCAGATACTCAAGTTCACTGACTTTCGAAGCTAACTCATGTTCTACTTCAACTATTTTAGACTTAAGAGATAAAATCTTAAATTCTTTTTTCGATGAGTTATTTTGAATTGAAATTACATCTTTCTGGGCTGAAAACAACTTACTTTCCAATATCTTGATTATATACTCGAGTGATTTGATTTTCTTGGATTTTGTAACATTCTTAGCTTTGGATTCAGCAATAAAAATATCCTTTTGTGCGTTATGAGAAATAAGATTAGTATTTTCATTTTGTAGTTGCTTATGTTCATTAATGACCTGCAAAGCGTGGGTGTGTAATTTTTGGATCTCAGTATTATTTCGTAATGAATCCTGATTCTACCTCTTTCTTTTTCGATCAAAAGCCTTCATTTGTTTTATGTATTTATTCTGTAATTTTTCACTAAGCTTGTTAATTTCAGCTTTGGATTTGATAGCATTGTGTATTTTTTTTTCTAGCTCTTCTTCGCATATACTACCAAGTCGATGACCTTTAATATTTTGAAATTTATATACATTAGCCATATTAGCTTGCTTCGCTAAATAATAGATAATATAATTATTAATAAAACTAATTTCGTTAATAATTTTTATTATTATCTAACGATGGTTAATGTTAGATATCCTAATCTATTAAAAAAATATATTAGATATTATTGAATTAGGTTATATAATAATTATTTTTATAGTCCTTTTATTAGTCAAAGACTTGCTTATAATAATATTTCTCATTCATCTATAATAATAGATATTATTTTTTATTGTTTCATAATATTAGATATTATTTTTTAATATTCTAAAATATTAAATATTATTCTAAATATTTGATAAAAAATCAAACCATGAACACACCATTTCTAAAATCATATTATCACTGAAAATCTACATATCTAACTTCTGAGCAGATAGAAACAATTAGATCACTCAAAGATAAGATTCCTAAATATAGAATTATGAGAGAATTCCATATTAATGAATATCGAGTAGATGATATATGAGGAGATCGAGAATGCCAGCAACAAATAATACAAAGTACCATTTCCACATTAGTTCTATCAACTTAATCTGAAAATTTTAATCAAATCAGAAGAGAGACTTTATATCCAGAATCTACTACTCCTCTCAATACAGAAATAAAAAAAAGAAGTTTCAAATCTCAGTCTAAAACTGTATTATGTAATAATAAGCTCTGCTCTTACATATCTGATTCAATACCTACTAATAACTCTACAGAAAAAATAAGTAGTGAGGATCTGGGTGTATTATATGAAAAAGAAGCCAGAAAAGATGAGAAAAATAAAGCAAATATGACTCGCCTATTAGCTACTACTTAATCTATAATATTATCTCTGGTAGAGATATGTTCAAGTAGCTTTTCATAAAGCATTTGCAACTTTTTACAAAGATTATTTATTTTAGCTTTAGACTTAAGAGTAGTATATAGTGAATTTTCTAACTTCTCATAACTCATGCATTTTTTTTTAGCACTTTTGGTGCTTGCTTTGCTAAAGTTAAATTAACAGAATCTAAGCTAAAATCTGCAGAAGCACACCACTCTTCTAATAGTACATTGTCATCCTTATTACTATCAACTTCCTGAGAAATTTGATCAGATATCAAAGGCTTATCATTCTGAGATATGGTTACACAGTTTACTTCGAGCTATTTTTGACCTTATGCATAGTTACTAGAATAATAAAATCTTCTCCATTATAATGAATCTTCATTTTATCATTACCCCAGACTACGGCATATTTATATTTCTTGAGAAGTAGATTCGGAAATATTAATGTTAGTTTAGGAACTCATACAACTGCAAAATCTTCATCTATAGTAAAACCTGAAGATAATGTTATTGGGAAATTACAAGCGACACCAATAGATTCTGTTGGAACAGTAGCAACACCACTAAGATTATACTTTACCGATTTATCAATTTTCCAACCTACTCATTTGACAATGTCTTCTAATATAATTGGAAGCTCAGCCCCACTATCAAGGACCATTGCTGGAATTTTTAAATGTTTGATTTTAACTGGTATAGTTGCAATACTTGTTATAGGTTCCTTCTTTTTAACAAAGTCTATTTCCATAGGATTATCTAAAGTTTCTTCTTTCTCTGACTCAGATATTTTTGGGGCTGGTTCTCTATAATTTGTGAAATCTGGAGTGGTTAAGTTTTTGTTCTCAGATTTAAGTTTCTCCAACTAATGCAGGAGTAAAACCTTTTCAAGCATTTCCAGTAAAATTCATTAAATATCCTGTTCAAGATGAGTTGATTTATTTCGAGACTTACCTGGAGTAGATGTGTCTTTTTTTGCTTTATGTGATTTGGACTTCTTTCCAGAAGATAATTTATTCGAATTACTCTTCTAATTTACTTTTTTTTTGCCTTGGTAATATGAACTTTGACATCACTTTCAGACTCAGATTCAGAGGAGGTGTCATCGGAATCAGACCCAGAATCATAATTATTATCAGAAGAGTTAGAATCTGAATCAGAACCAGAATTATTGATAGCCATATTAATCTTACCTTTTTTATTTTTGCTAGATCTTTTGGAATTCTTAGATTTCTTTCTAGAACACTTATGAGAATTGTGTCCGGTTCTATTACAATTTGAACAACGATGTTTGGATGATTTAATAACAGCATGAACTTCTGCCTCAAAATCTTTCGACAAAGCCTTATTTATTGATAACTTACCCATATGATCAGCCAGTTCTTCATCAGAGTCGACTTCAACATTTTTCTTTGATTGCACTGGCTTTGCCAAAAACATATCTAACACTTTTTTATAAAGATCATTAGCTAAAAATTCTATAATTTGGCTGGCTAAAGGAGTTGGGTTTATAAGATCACAATGAATAAATTTTTCAGAATTTATGTCATACCCATCTGGTGGTCTTTCTGGCATATATTCATCTGGTACTCTAAAGTAATCACTGAAATCAGGTTGCTTTTGCTGAGACTGTAAAGCTTGTGTTTTCTGAAGCTGTGAAGACTGAATAGAAGTAGTTGGTACTAAAGCTAATTGTGATTTTATCATACTATCTAGTTCAGCTCGAGATATACTACTACTATCGGAATGTAATTTATTTTGTATATTAACAGCTGAAGTTTGAGAGATTTGGTCAGGAATGGAGCCCTTATACAAATTTGGAGGACGTTCTAACCATATATTTTTAAGTTCTGTAAAAAATGCATCAATGCCACCAGGGTTAGTGATTTTTATCCAAGTATAAAGCTCTCCTGATAAATGACCCTTAAGAAGTCCTAAGATATTGGCATCACCATTAGCAACCCCTAATAAAAGAGGATGGATTCTAGCCTTATATGATTCTGGATTATCAAATAGTAAGAATTTTTCTTGTGCTAATCTTTGAGTAGCAACTTGTTGTGTTCCAACTGTCTCTGTCTGATATTTATGACACAACCAAACAATAAAATGAGCTGGAGTATCAATATTTGTACCTACGGGGTATTGTGCAAGTATATTTGTATATTTTCCAGCCATCTTACTTTTTAAAATATCTGCTCAAAGTGCATTATTAAAGGCACCTGCCATAATTGATAGTAAAGTTAATATTTGATTAATTCTTTGATACCATTCATCTGGTAGAATTTGTCCATTATAATTTGAAATTTCTGCAATTAATGGTGCAATACTGGTTAAGTCTCTAGCAACTGTAGCCATATTTGGTGGATTATTATGTAACAATAAAATTTGTGCTTGTAAATTATTTATTAATTGTTCAAAATTTCGAGCATGATTTTTCCACTTATCTCACTTATTGTCTAGTTGAACATTGGCAAGTAATAAATCATTTTCTAGAGTCTTGCATTTATTTTTCCATTTGCTGTATTGATTTTTTGTAAGATTTAAGAGGTGCATAGTAATTGCTTCATCTGTCTTATATTCTTGTAGTTGCTGTTGTGTTTGTCTATTTTTAAATCCTAATGCAAATTTTTCTAGAAGCAATTTTGATATTTGTCTTTTTTGCATATGGATTGTAATTCGATCATCAAGTTCTCGAGATTTAAATATATTGTGTTGTGTTCTGTGAGCTTCATAGGCCTGATGAAAAAGATCGTAGTCATTTTGAAGTGTAGCTAACTGAATTTGTGAATTAGTTAACTGGGTCTGCAAATTTGCTACTTGATTTTCTGCATAAATTGCGCGAGCATTTGCCTGCAGATATATATCTAGTACTAATCTTTCAAACTTATCCCCAGCATCAGAAATTATATTAAGATAATCCACAATACCATTAATTGTAGGTGTTATTGTGATTGGGCTTTGAAAATATCGTCTAATATTATTAATCTCTTGCTGAATCCTATTATTCTGGATCATAGCTTGGTTTTCTGGCAAAGATAATCTGGGTGATCCTGGTTGTTGTGCCATATCTATAGTGAGGTTATAGTTCTTCGAATCTATATTATCATTGCCATTTTTATATAAAATAAGTATTTTTATTTTTTTATTAAGCTTGTCTATTTCATCTTGAAAAATTACTAACTGCTTTTCCAAATAGTCTATATAATTCTCTTGGCTTTCAGAATCTCAAAGTGTTTTTACTAACCGTTCTTTAATATCAGAAATTTCCTGTCATAATGGATCCAGTTCTCTATCTCGAATCAAAATTTCATTTTCAAGATATTTAATGTAACTCTCTTTTAAGTCTAGATCCCATTGTAATTTACAGAATCGATTTTTATTATCTGCAAACTAGCTTCGAATTTTTTGATTGTTTCACTAGATAGAGACATTTGTATCTAATGGCATTGTACAAGCCTATAATATATCGACGCTTCTGGAAACTTTACCAAATAATACTTTATTAATATAGTAAAATGTATCAAAAATGAACCAACCTAGTATCATAATTAGTACCGACGAGGAGTTGGCCCTAGTTTGTCAGTTATTATTCTATCAACCTACAGGTTATCATTCTAATGCTCGATTATTACATAAAGATCTCAAGAAAGAAGGTTACTGTTTCCTATATAAAAAAGTTCGTGAATGTTTGCATAATTAGAATGAATGACAAAAGTATGCTCTGTCACCAAAAAATATTTCATGAGTTAGTTATGGTAAAATTTCATGTCCAAATTGTGTACATATGTGCGACCTCCTATTTCTTACTCATGATAATTACAAAGGTAAAAAATAGATGGCAGTGCTTAATATAATAGATGTGGCTAGCAGGTATAAAGCAAGTATTCCTCTCATATCGAAGAAAAGTTCAGAGGTTGCTAAAGCGTTCAAGAAAATTTATGATTATCCCAATAACCCTCTTACATACCCAACACTTTTATAATGTAATGGCAGGACAGAATTCAAAAAATCAGTAAGTCAGCTAATGGAGGCACATTATGTTACAATTCGAGTAATTGGTGCATATTCACATTGAGGGCTTGCTCTCATTGAAAGATTTAATAAAACTTTAGCAGAGATGCTTTACAAGATCCAATATGCTGTTGAAAGTATAACCTCGAATCCTAGGTCAATAAGAGCATGAGTCAAGTATTTGTCAGAAGTAATAGATTATCTTAATAATTATTTGACTCATCTCATTTGGGTTCTAGGTTCTTCAAAGTGGGGATTGGCCCCAAAGGAGGCCATCAAATTAGAAAAGATTGAATCTCGACTATCCACAAAATATAAACATCCTATTAATAAAAATAAGGAGAATAAATTAAAGAAGAATGATATAGTTCGTTATCTGCTTGCTAATGCAAAATGGTAAGGAGGTATGGAGAATCAGAAAAGGGCGACAGATCCCACATTCAGTCCAAGTCTTCATAAAATCCACAAAATCGTAGTCTCAAAAAATGAACCTATCTTATATTATCTCGGAGACAATAACGATGAATATCCTCCGAAGCGAGGATTTGTGAGAGAGGAGCTCATGTACGTAGATTTAGAAAAAGTTCAATATCTGCCCCAGAGTATATTGGAAGAAAAAACTCATTCCAGATCTATTAATTTTGTTCATATTATTAATAAAATGTCTAAAGCCGTTGCATATGCTGAGAAGCATGGCAGAAAATGTCTTGGTAAAACTGGTCAAATAAACGGAATGAATGTATATCTCTGGTCATATGCAAATGGAATCCATCAATGGAAAGCACCTTATAAGACCCAGAAGCGTAAATTCGAGTGGTGCCCACTTTGCCATCATACTAAAGAGCACAGTTGTTGATATATATTTGAAGATTTGCTAGATAAAAAATTCCCACCATGTTCAGATAAATTTTTAGATGGCTTGTGTTTGAATGATTATAACAAGGAATTAAAATTGGCTTTTGAATACCAAGGATACTAGCATTATTCTGAGAATCCAATGTTTCACAGATGAGAGAGGATTGATTTGGATGAGCAGAGATGGAGAGATCAAAAAAAGCAAGATATATGTAAAAGAGAGGACATATGTCTCATTGAAATGGCTTATGATTCAGATATATTTTCCTATATCAAAAGTGAATTGCAAAAGAAAGGTTATTTATCATATAAAAAATAAATATTACTTATCTTAGTTAGAATGAAAGATAAAGGCATGCCCATATATGTATACAATATCGATGAGACGTCTAACAATTCCTCAGAACGAATGAAAGGTAATAAGTATTCTCCAGATGCCACTTTCAGATTACTGGTATGTGGGGGTTCTAATAGTGGAAAAACAAATATGGTTATTAATCTTATGCTAGGTAAAAAGCTCCAATGCATGTTTAATGGAAAAAAAGGTAATCAGTATATTAAGAATGACGATCTGGTATTAATAAAAAAACATTCTGAACCAAAATAAGAATTAGTAAAAAATGCATACAAGATTTTCGCAAATGCCCCTAAACCATATCGAGAAGATGTTACATTTAAAAGGATATCTCCAGATAAAATTTCAGATATAACTAAATTCTTTCCAGAGCGAAGTACAGTTGTTGTATTTGAAGATCTATATGCTGAACCAAAGAAAGTACAAGAATGAATTATTCCTTACTTTATTAGTGGCCAGCATCAAAATATCTCAGCCATATATGTAAGCCAGAAATATACCCAAACCCCAAAAATTATTCATGAAAATATCTCACATTTATGCTTATTCCGGAGGAGTAGTAGTCGAGACGATATTAGCAGAATCATATGCCAGTATACAGATGATCCAAAAAAAGCATCTAAAATTATTGATAAACATTTAAGAGATCGAAATTTTGTAGTTTTTGATTTTACTAAAGCAGTAGACGATCCTTTAAGTGTACGGCTTAGTTGGAACACACCCCTGAAATTAGATGAATAGAACAAGCTTTAGCCATGCCAGCTTTGCTGATAATTGAATAATTATTTTTTTTGTTATTTGTTAATGAAGTTATATAATTCATCCTACCCACTACTTCTTATAATATTAAGAAGATGCATGTCTTCAGCCTGTGTTGAAATTGGGGTGGATGTAAAAATAACAAACTCGATATATTATCTGTAATAGGAATTTTTATGTTCTGTAAAATGTGCTTACATATGAAAAAAAATGTTATCAGCTTTTCTTTAGGAAAGATAACAAAATAAAGTCTAAAGTACTAGCCCTCAAGAATACTTTAGGTTGTTTTATTTTAAATAGATATATATATGAATAAGTTATATAATTAATAAATCGAATAAATAAATTAAATCAAATAAATAAATATATGAATTGCTTTGCAGACATGGTCTATACATTGTTAATTTGGTGCATTTCCTCTCGAATTCCCTATAAGAGTTTATAATGTTGAGCAAGTTCTGTTACACATATACCTTCGGGTCTGTAGAAATACTCTAGCCATTTCTTCTGTATAGTTGTACATGCTCAGATCTTTTTTGCTATTTCTCGAATATGTTTAACTCTATTGATAAGATTCTCTATTCGTAATTCATATCGATAAATAGCTAACCTTGTGTAAATATTGCTTTCAACTTCTGGTTTTTGTTTAAGCTCCATATACTTATTGAAACATATATCACAATGTCTATTTCTAGTACAATTTGTATGCCAATGTTCCTTCATCTTATACTTGTGATATAATTCATATCCTACTCTTTGATCAACATAAACAAACTGATCACAGCTATAACATATAGCAATATTCACTTTAACAGTCATACGATAACTGAATCCTTCTGTAGATTCCATCTTTCTGGCAATAAGATATCGCTTATTCTAATTAGTCAATTTATTGTTATTTCAATAATTCACTAATTGATTTCAGATTCGGTTTTTCCAATTAGATAGTGTTTCCCCATCACGAATTACTGAAAATTGGCAGTTATCCCTCTACTCAATATCATTTAAAACTGAACAATTATCTGTATAGACCATATTTAATGATTAAGTAATTTAACATATTATAGTGTTTTTGGAGATTATGTGATTTATACTGTATTTAGGGATTTAGACCTATTAGATTTGGTACGATATACTATAGAATATCAGGATTTATTTTTTGTGCATTCAAAATAACTCATATTAGATACTCCATATATACAGGTTAAAAACAGACCCAATATGGGTAAAAACTTTATTAATTTTTTTCTATAAAAAATACATATATTCGTAAATATATAACATATATGCTTTTATTATGAATTAGGTAACAGGTCTTCTGCTCTTAATCCACATCTGGCATATGACAAATTTAGAAATAATCGTCATAATTAATTTTTATTTACATTTAAGATCTAATATTATGTATATATTTTCTTACCAATACATCTTCTTCTACGATCTGAAGGTTGTGAAGGGATTTGTATCTGCTCTGCCTTCGGTTTAAAAAGATGTATCTGGCAGTTCAACTTGCAAGCATCTTCAAGATTTTAACGCTGCATTGGTCCAGAAACAACATTATCTTTTGCATCTTTCTCTACATTGATTTTAAGGTCATTATATACAGAAGAGAAGTCCCGCAAATGATGAAAGAAGGAGCTATGCACAAAATACATGACACTGTGACGAATTCCTTTCATGACAGGGAAATTACTATGGAGAAGAAGGTGCGAAGAATACACTATAACTTGCCCGGGACAAAGTGGAACAATTATTTTTAACTGAAGAAAGCAGAGTTCACCTCCGTCAAAATCACCAAGAGCAACGAGACAACAAAGACTATTTGGCTCGTCATTTTCATTCTAATAATAGTCACTTATGGTATTATAATTAATAGCTATCATTGGGAAAACCCTGAATGGTCTAGGTGCAAATGGACCCCATCTTAACATACTTAATTTTTCATACAGGTTTCCATAATATTTTTGAAAAAATTGATTAATACAGTTCGACAAAGGGACAAGGTCACTCAGTAATTTATTAACACATTTCAAATGCTCTATATTGTGGCTACTTGCAGTATTCGAACTTACATAGGGGAGGAGGTTATTCAATGTGAACACACCAAAATGTTCAATAAAATTTTTCCAAAAACTTTCGCTTCGATGAGATGGATGAGCTAATGTATGAAAATAATAATAATTAATAGCCTCAGTTGCTTTATTTATAGCATCTAAATTCTCAATTAAATTTAGGTAGAGCAAAGTCTGGTCATTTTTATCTACAACACACTCTGGATTTATTATATAACAAAACCCAACTAATCTTTCGATAGTTTTTAAATCACATACCGAGATAAGCATATGATTTTTTTCTTTTTTTGCAATATGTGGAGTTGTTAGTACGGATTATTCCTCATTACTACGAAAATGCAAAGCATGCTTTAGTTTTTGCTACCTCAAATGGAGATGTTGCCTTACTTCTCTTCTTTTAATTTTTCCCTCAAATCCAAGCCATTTTTCTAATACAACCCACACATGCTTTTCTGATTTATAAAGGCTAGACATGCAAGTATCCTTATTATACAAATTATTAGGATTAATAATATCTTTATTTACTATTACAAGAAAGTCAGTGGGTATTTCAAACGATTCAAGAGTATTATTATTATTATTATTCATTTTTGCTTCATAGATAAGGGTCTTGAGCAACAGGTCCATCATGGAGATTTCATGTAAGGCCTTGATATTTTTGGTCGATATGCGATCCGAAAGGCAGAGGGGGATACTCATCCACTCCTTTTCAATATAATACATTTTATCCTTGGTGCACAGTCTATGGGTTGCTTGCTGGGTGCAATGCTAATAATGATACTGAAAGATTGTTAAATTGTTAGATTATGAACAAAAGAATAAAAAATAAGCAGTGTATAGGTTATTTTTGCGGACTGAACAAAACACCCTTGTCTAAGTACTGAGCCACCTAGTGGTGATTATGAGCCTGTTGAGTCTCACAACATACATTAATCAAAGGCCCTAGTTGCTATTGCAACAATTTTTTGCATAACTAAGTATACACGTACAAATAACTTGGTAATTGTTCTATCAACACAAAGACTAAACACCAGCAGTATATAATGAGAATTAAAAGTAGTATATACCCAGTTCGGGTAAAAAAAAACATTATTTATAGGTGATAGTATAGGCGACGGTATAGGCGTATTATGGTTTACTGGTAAAGTTAAACTTGGTCCCTTTTCCAGCCTACGTTTTTTATTATAGCGACTATAGCTTGACATTCTTTTTACCAGTATTTATAAAAGCAAAAAAATTGTTTTTACTATTTACTGACAGATGGGGCAAAACAATACCATTTGACAAGCCGTTAGGGTTTAAAGTCTTAGAGCCGATGGTCTACTCAAGAAGAATGGTATTATTTTGCAGAATAAAATAGAGAAGACACTGGCGTTTTTATTTTCAGCAATAAGCATTTGATAAAATTTGGTGAGTATATATAGAAACTTAATTAGATTGGAATGGAAACACAGAAGTACTATTTTACCTGAATTAAACTTGGCGTTAGTTATGCATATACCATCGATAGGTGGGAGTAATAAGATAACACCTTTTCTATAATGATTCTATAATGATAAATTGAGTTAGTTAATAATGGCTTAATATACACAATAAGCCTAAGTAATAGTCATATCCAACTTTACTCCAATCGATACTACAAAAAAAAGGTAAGAGGCGCACATATGAAATATGCTATGAATCATACCATAAATAATTCAACAGGAGGTACATACGTGTTATTGCTATATTTAACTCAAGAGAGGTTTCGTATAAAAATAATGTTATATTAGGATTGGGGCTACAGGACTTTTGGCTTAAGGTAATTATTTGGGGCTAGAACAATTTATCTACAAAAAAAGAATAAATTTGGGCTGTGAAATACCTTAAAAATTATCTATAAATATATGTGTTATTTTACCACGATAGTTAAATAAAAATACAGAAATAGAGGTCGTACATATAAAAAATCGATTAGTATCAATTACAATAATGATAAGAATAGAACATGTAAGATAAGCTATAAATATTTATTACGATATTTAGACACCATCCTCTCTTAAAATAAATTTATTTATATCGAATTTACCTTCTGTTAATCTGAAATTAGAAGTGATACACTTCAACAGCTGTTTACCAAAATTTAATAACAGCTTCAAAGATATGCAAAGAAATATGTACATTGGCACAGTCACGTTTTAAATCTGGTATCGGTATGAATTACATTAGTTGGAATTTAAATATTTACTAAATTTGACAATCGGCATTTTTTATATAGGGATTACATTCAAACACTAATACTATCATTAATGTTAATTATTCTTGTTCTTGGTATATATGATTAATTTTGGTCTATAAAAAGCAATACTTAAAACAATAGACATCGGCACAATAAATGACTGGTATTTTATATGTGCAGTTTAGACCTGTTAATATTCAAAATCTTTCACTTATTCTGAACTGTATGGCTTAGAAAATTATATATACTGTATGTTTATTAAAAAATAAGCCAACAATACTTTAACAGTGGCTTAGCGATTTTACATATATTTATTATAAAAAAGCCAACAGCACTTCAACAGTAGTTTATGACTTTTTAATATACGTAGTAAGAATCATTGTAAAAAAATAAAGTTGTAATACAAGTCATACGAAATTAGATATGTGGTGACACTCTCCTGAGAATTATTTCTCACGATCGATTTTTTATTAATAATGAATATTACGAATAATGTGAATAATGTGAATAATGCCTAGACCTTTTCTTACCCTCTATGATCCTGCGATAAGAATGGGGTTTAAAAAGGTTATAAGGGTAATAAGTATAATGTTACTTATCAGTAGTTTTATCAAAATTCATATGTTATGAGAGACTTGGAATTCCCAGATCATCAAAATCATTGACTTTTTTTCATTTCACAGAAACAATCATTGAATCTAAAAGAGTTAATTTTATCAGAAAAATAACAAAATAGATCCAGTATTTGGAACTTATGGCCAAGCGGAGTTTTTTGTTAAGTGTGATCTGGCATTATGTTAGAGTAACATAATTACTAAGCTTGTAATTTCTTTCTAGCAGGTTCTCTGGATCTAAAGAACGTGAAGTATAAAATAAGCGATTTTTTTGTTTCTTATAGGGTGGGTTATAATAATATTTTTTGCTCATATATAATTATTTTTTAACCTGACTATAATTATTTTTTAAAGTAATGTGCTATTTTATATTTAACCGCGACTATGATAACAAATTTTTTCTTACTAAATAATTTTTGTATTTAGGAACAAAAAATGAGCAATAACGATACCACCACCCCTACGACTAATGATACCACCACCCCCATGAGTAATAACACCACCACTACCATTACCACCTATGACACTACCACTCTCATGACTAATAACCCAACGCCATCTAAACCAAACCCTATGAATATTACTCTTACTAGTAAGAAAACTTTTTATTATATAATTATGTTTTGGTTATACCATCTACCAATTCACTTCTATTATTGTTGAGGATAAAATATATAATAAAAAAATAGTTATTAATCTGGATATGAGTATATACAAGTGGGTAATGCTAAAGTAACATTTTTATTTAAATTAGGAAAGTATAAAGAAATACAAGATGGAAAAAAGACAATTGATACCGTAACTTTGAAAGCAAGCTCTAATGACAGTTCATTGTTGGATAATATTAAACTCCAAAAAATGTTAGACAAAAAATGAGAATAGAACGAATATGATTTTTTTATTTGCATCATGAACAGTGATGTATGTTTTATTTGTACATTGTTGTTCTAGCAACAATTTTTATTAAATAAAGAAGGGGGAATGTGGCCTTCCCATGTTTTATTTTTACATGGTTTTTGCAATGCAATTTGTAATTATTAATTAGTGAAGATAATAGAGTCATACCTAGTTTTCTTATTAACCTATGCTTTTATGATTACTATTTGGATTGAATTCTGATAAGCCTCCCAACATTTGAGACAATAAGTCTTTGTATTGATGTAATCACCACTACCCCAGTTACCCTCTATATTATCTCTTATATTTTCTTTTTTATGATCTTTATTGCATATAGGACAGGATACTGAGCAAGTAAAGTAATTGCCATATTTATTACTGTATTTCAATGATAAATGTGAAAAGCGATCTAATACCATTTTGATAATGTGTGCTTGCTTCTCTTTAGGATCATCAGGCAAGGTAAAAATTGGAGGTTGGGATGTTGATTGTTTACTAACATTTGCTTTTGTATTTTCTGATGATACACTTACCTCAGTTTTTGGACGTGCCAGCTCCGCTGATAATTCTGAATCTTGATTATTTTCTTGAGATAGTTCAAAGCTAGATGAATTAGAAACTTGAAATTCAGTAGATATACTTACCTTGGTCTCAGTTTCTAGTAAAGATTCAACTTTCTCAATTATCTTATCTTCTGAATTGCTAGAGGCAGTCACGAAGCTAAAGGTATGGGACAATAGAATAGAAGAAGTGGTTATATTACCTGTCTCTATTTCAGATGTGATTTTTCCAGGACCACCAGTCTTAGAAATTTCAGTATTTTCAGATGAAATTTGATGTCCTACATTATCTGTATCGATGTTCTTACAAGAATAATTTATAATCTGTTGAATTTGATCATTAGTAAGCTTTGAAATGGAATTCACACTATATGATTTGATGTATTTGATTTTATCATGGCCTATTTTTTCGAATAATATATAAATTTTCTCAGCTCTCTGAGTTTTTTTGTACAAAGCATCCCACGATATTTCTGGAAGATGTAAACCCAATTCTTGAGATCTTTTTTTACGGATAATAGAAAGCTGTTTTGTAATGGAATCATAAAGTAAACTTCTCGCCTTCTTTTCACCAATTTTACCTCTGCTATTTTTAATAATCTCATTGAACTGAACCTTGAAATCCTTTCTATAGATGGACCAACATAAGATTTCTTCTTGGTTGGCTCTATTTGCACCATCCTCAGCATCAAAAGCTTTATCACATAACTGAGCTAAATGTTGCGATGCTTTGTCAATGTTAGATTTTTCAGGACTGCCAGTCTTGAAAATTTCAATCGTATGGTTTTGAATTATATTCGATTCTTGTAGAGACAGCTCTGAAGTAAATAATTCTTGGATCAACCCCTGCCCATCTTTTACACTCAAAGAAGATTTAGTATCCTGAGAAGTTATGATTTTCTTTTTATCTCGAAGTTTCTTCTCTCCAATACTCTGAATTATCTCTTTACTAACCTTTTCTTTATGTATTGAATCTAGGAAATCATCAATTTCCATGTTTTCTGATGATTTAGGCTCTATAGGAATAGGAGATGTGAGATATTGGTTTTCTGATTCCTGGCATATATCAAAATTAGATACATCATCAGAATTTGAAGTATTTTCAGATGCCAGAGTATTATTGGAATTTTCCATTTTGATAGGGGTGGTATTAATCAAAGATTGATCAATTTCTCTGGTATCATCTACTAATGATTTGGAGTTAGAATTAATGCAATGGTCTATAACAGAGTTGGGTATATTAACAACATTTTCAGAATTATCACCATTTTCTAATCTATCTACAGGATTGTTTTACTTCTGCTCCAATTTCGCAAATCGATTTTCACTTTCTTTTGCTGACTTTTCTAGTTCCACGATTCTGGCATTGAGCTTACCATCTCTCAACTTTGCATTCTCGGCATTTTCTTTTGCAGTCTGTTATAATTTCACAAATCTGATCTCAATCTCTTTCTTATCTTGTTTTAACTTTATATTCTCGGCCTCGACTTTGGCAAATTTCTTTCTAAGTTCAAGAATCTCAGCATTCTCCTTTCTAAGTTCAGCAATATCAGATACAAGTTTGATATTCAATTCCCTTAACATCTTAATTGTGGATTGGGTGTCTTCTATTGTTTTATACAAGATACGGATATGTTTAAAAGTTTGAGTTAAAAATCACATGACTGCGTGAAAAATACAGGATAACTGATAAGCAAACGCCCTCTGATTAGCTATTTTCCTTTTTGGGTTTGTATTACCTACACAAATAAGTGCACTCCCTGCAGTAGATCCTAATGCCATTGGTGACGATTGTCAAAATAATTAATAATTGCAACAGTTAAATTCTCATGTTAAAAAGTTTAAAACCTGTACATAGTGCAGAAATATTTTTTTCATCTCTAAGGACCATAAATTGATAACTTTCTAAATACTATTCACTACAAAAAACTCAACAGATTAAAAAAAAAACAGAATTTTACATTTTTCGAAATTTATCACTGTAAATGTATGATAATTATGCAAGTTAACAAGTTATTATATTTATCCCTACTATTTTGGTTATCCACTAACCAATTTAACATTTTCCACAGAAAATGGCTAATGATAAGAATGAGTCAACAGAAAGGCCAGGTTTCATAATAGTGAAGTGGGTCTTGCTCAAGGGTGAACCAACAGTTGTGAAGTTGAAAGGTTCTTTATCTGAGTTCACAGATTTGAATAATTTTTCTTCTTGTCTCAAACAGAAATTTGATGAATTAAAAAATGTCAAGCCACAAAAACGTACATATTTTACCTATGATGATCACAATGTACTGCTCTCGCCAGACACCATCCTTACATTTCTGACCACCATAGCATCAAAACCGCTTGTCATCCGGTACCCATTGTCTGATGCAAATAGTAAGTAAAGTTTACATATTTTTGTTTTTCCAGTTTCTAAAACTAAATGTTTATCAAATTCTATAATGCAGTTGTAGTAAATTATAAATTTCTACATTCTTCAGGCGAATATCAAATGCCACATACAAGTGGCTTCTGGAGTCTTTTGAGAGAAGCCATCATAGAAAGATTCGATAAGTTGCTGACAGAAAATTTCTATTTGTCAATAATGAAACGAATAAGAAAATTATGAATGAATATCAGTTTAACACATTATTGTCGAGAACCAAGCCAAACGAAGCGAATGATTACATACTTGATCTAAAGATCCGGATCAAGGGGAAAAAAGCATATAGCGATTGGAAATTTAGGGATGTGTTTCAGGATATGTTGAAACAAGATCATACATCTCTTGATACTGTGCCAAGATTTAACCCAACAAACTTCCTATAATAAACCCTCTGATGAGTGTCCAAGAGTTGGATCTCTTCATCAAGAAACTTGAGGAAAAATACTATACACTTTGTAATGAGATAAAAAACAAGGCAACATCATGTGAATTCATATCAATTTTCATGAACACTGCAGTCCGACATGTTCAACTTCATGTAAATGAGAACACATGGTTATCTGTAGAAGTTGAGCTTGATGGAAGTTGCAGTTATGATTACGCAGATTATGCTGTATATATTCAAGATAACATAGTATTAGTAGATGAAGCCAAATGGAAAGATCTTGTTGAAGGCATAGCTCAATACGTTATGGAAATGTACACTTTAGTAGAAAAGTTAGGTAAACGCAAGTGTGACAAATCACCAACAATTTTTGGTATAGTGACTATAGGATGTAGTTGGCGATTTATTCGCTAGACTGGTTCATTAGAAAGACCAATAGTTGAAATTTCTGAGAAATATGTATGTAGATTCAAAGAAGATACGAAAAACTCAAAGGATGTGATTGAGTATATCATACGAATTCTTCTAACACAAGCCACATCATTTCTAAATGATAACAGAAATAATAAACATATTTCAAAATGCAATAAATCAGAGTAGAATTTTCTCGAAAAGAGGATACATATACTGTATATATGCAGACTATAATTTCTGAATTTGTTTTTTAATCTTTGGAAACCATTGTTATTTGCGTTAATCTCGATTGTATATTGTGAAATTAATTAGTATCAATAAAATTAAAGACAATTGAGTTAAGTCAGAAATAATCTATAGTAAAATCGCATATACATAGTTGATCAAAAAATAATTTATGTACCCTTTCTCCCTGCAATAAAAGTTTATTAATAAAGTTAGTTTTGTAAAACATTGATCAAACTTTCTCTATCTTCGGACCTAGATTAGAGCAACGTAATTTATCATGTATCGGTATGCATTCTTATGATCCAAAATCATAATGTCGATGTATACTCTTTCATTGATTGGTGGCCGTGTAACTGATATTCTGGAATCAAGAAAATCCCGGGCCTCTGACCCTAAAACTATAGTTCCGTAGTATATCAAATATTCTCTATATATCGATATCGATATTTGTTGTAAGTGGATTTGGAATTTCTTAAGATTTTAGAGTTAGAGCATAGGCTTATATAAAATAAATTCTACCTAAAAATTCTAAAAAATTCCACTAAACTATTACATTTTACAATATCTTGTAATCTTCAATTCGCACTACTTGTTTCAGAAAAGTGGCAATTTCTATGCCAAGGACTCCGCTCTACTTGTGCTCCATATCACAAAAAGTTATGCATAACGATAAGCTAGTAAGGTGATACAGATAAATTCATACGTACCCGGAACTATTCTAACACATGTTAAATGAATATCTTTGTTACATGGACGAATTATGGAAAATTATGTATCAATTCTGGTTTATTTTTACTAAATGTTAACTATCTGATAATTATCGTTATTACATTCACATCGTCTATATATTCCATTTGCTACTTTTTTGCACGTTTTGCAATATAGATGTGAATGATGATTGCATTCGTTACAGACCTTACACCTGTGCTTCCAACCTCTAAAGATATGCCACTTTTCGAAGTAATTTTTTTTATTTGTTAATATGTTACTCTTATCTTTCATTGTTATATATTAACAGAAAAAATATAACGTGGCTAAATTTTTTATTATACAAACCTGTAATATGTGGCAATTGCGTTCTCGCCTATAAATAAATTATGTATAAGCCAGGATTATTATTTATATGCAGAAATTTTTTATATGTATACCGATATAAATATTTTTGAACCTTTCATTTTTTACATTTATTACATCTAATTTAATATATGATGCAGTAGTCATGTGAGTATGACCTCCAAAGGTCACGTTCACATAACTTATACGAATGATTCTGTTGGGGTTTTATCCAGAATTTGAGATATTATATGATTAATTTGATTTACAGTTAATTTAGAAATTATCAATGCAGAAAAAGAATTTACCCACACTATTTTATCTATTCCTATCTTACTAAAGAGATGAAAGATTTTTTGGGCTCTTTCTTTTCTTTTCTGGATAGTAGTTTCAGGAGTACCATCAGAAAGTTGTTTTTCAATTTCTTTATTTACTTCACTATTAGCATCATTTACATTATAAGATTTTTCATAATGAAACTTGAAGTGTTTTGCTATAGCTATCCCGAAGTTATAGTATTGAATAATTACTTTCTGACTTTGTTTTTGATTTTTACTTTCAGCAAAGATAATTTTAGTATATAAATTTAGAAAATCAATAGGTTGTGGGTCAGCTTCAGTAGCTATGACTTGGTAAGAAGTTATTTTATCTGTGTTTTATTCAGCAGTGTTAGATTTTAATTCTGTAATAAGTTTTTTTATAGTATTAGAATCTTTCTTATCACCTTTTTCCTTATTCCGCTTTGATTTTTTATTGGATGATTTATTTTTAGTAGTATCTTTGGTAAGTCTTTTTTGACTCTGTTTTATATAGTCTGAAATAAAGAAATCTGATAAGTGGAGATTTAAACTATGAGTTGTATCTGAGGTTACTGTATCCCCACTTTGACTAGATATCATTTGTGCCATTTGTGGTAAAATTTGCATTGGGTTTGAGGTATTCTGTGCCCAATCCTGTGAGCTAGGTTCCAAAGTATCAGAATAATGCGTATAATCAATAGATTCAATTTTTATTGCACATTCAGAGCATTGTGAAAGATCTTTTACATAATTCTCAAGATAACTACAGTGGAATATATGTTCACAGATGAGTATGATAAATGGTTTTTTAAGTTCGTACAAAAAAAGCTCTTCTTTACACTTTGAGCATGGATCTAGTTCTGGAACTTCAATACCTTTTGCAATGACCTCTGAGGTGCCATTCTTAAGAATATTTAAAGCAAGGTTTTTGAGACATGAAACATTTTGAGACGTTAGGTTAGTAGACATATCCAAAGGTAAAATTTTTTATAATTAAAAGAGTTGGTATATAGTATTAAGGATTATAGACAGATAAGTAATGAAATTAATCATTTGCTTATTTTTATACATTAAATGTTTAGAGACTAACAAACTTAATTTGCAGATTTTATGAAATCTCATTTCAGGTTTAGCAATCCGTTCATTCACGAATTATTAAGTATAAGCCAGGATCGCTCGATCTTTGCTGACAATCACAAATAAAAAATTTTGCTTAAGGGTGGACCAAAGGGTTATTGCTCTGCAATAAGTATGATTAGTGAGTTGGTTAGTACCGAAATACTTCTATGCTTATCTCTGATTCGTGGATTTAAAACACATGACATCTCTCCCTTGAGGCCCATTATAACGTGATGTGATTTACTTCACTTTGTGGCTATATATAAGATCATCAAGCTTGATAATTAACTTTACCTTTTACTTTATGCTTTCAAATAGGGTGTTTCTTTACTGCTCTAGTCTTATATGCATGTGTAACTTCTATTTCCAAACTAGATATGGAAAAATAACTTGAATCGCTGTCCGAAGTATCTGAATTGAAAGAAGTATCCGAATTGGAAGTGCCCGAATCTTTTGATTTCCCAGGAAGTATTTTGTAAAAATCATGAATATCTCTTTTACTAATAGATACTATTACTCTCTTCTCTTTCTTCTCAGTTAGGTTTTTAATATGCAAAGTTGTTCTTATCCAGGCATCTTCTGCATCAGTCACTATTTCTGATATATAAGTCTGGAGCTCATCATCATCATATTTGCGTCTATAGAACCAATTATTACCAAGCAATATATAATTAGGTAATGTAGAGTTATATCTATCAACCAGTACTTCAGTTGAAATCGTGATAGATTTTTTATTATTAAGATGGATATTATCTTTTATATTAGATGTAAATGTGAGTGAGATTACGACCAATCCAAGTGGAGCTGTGGCTTCTTCTCTGATGAATTTGCTATCTTTTTCTTTGAGTGTTAATTTTCTGCTAATTTTACCACCTATTTTCTTGAGGAGCTTATCAGTACACATTGATAGTTCGAGAAATCCTGGTTCGAGGCGATAATTAATTTTCTGCAATTCTACTTTAGCTTTGACTATTTTCATGGTATGTTATATTATGTGATACATATTTGACCGAAAAAATAACTAACAATTAATTATTAATTTCCTGCTAGTGGGTGCAATTGTTTATAACTCATGATGAATGATTAGGAATAAAATCGATATTATGTGTCTCGACACTAGCTCCACTATTATCTTGTATCATTCCACTTATAACCGGGAGAGGTATATCCACTGCTTCAGAATCACTAGATTCAAACTTTGTTTCAGAATCACTAGATTCGGACTCCATCTCAGAATAATCTGAATCGTAATATTCATTTAGATTAATAAGGTTATTCTCCATATTTTGGTCAAAAAACTCGATTAATATAACTTTCCCATTTGAATTAATTGCAGAAAATTTAGGAAATAATAATTCGTAGAATGTATATAATGAAGGAGACAGAATATCAATACTATTTCTTGCATAATATATCCTTTTTTCCTCATTATATTCCCAATATCTCCCATCACGTCCATCAATCCTATTTTCCAACCTCATTAGCCACGTGCTTTCTAAAACCAAATCATATTCAGGCTTGTCAACAACTAAGAAATGTTCATATGAATTTCCTAAATATGAGGATGGTCCCAAATCGGCCAAAGGCTAGCTCACGTCAAAGATATTGGGTAAAGAAATAGAAACTTCTTCATTACAAAGCCACCCCCCTACCATCACTTTCTTACCAGCATTTGTCACACCAATACCAAGAGCTTCTACCACTAGATATTTAGATCCATCCATCCTTGTTATATATAAATCCATTTTTCGGGCAAGTGCTTTACTGATACTATTATACTGAAATTTGGGATCAATAAGTGCTTTAACAGTTGTTTTACTATCAATAAATGAGCAGTCCACTATTAATCTTTTGCGAATTTCTCTAATAACTTTGGTTTTCCATATATCATCTAGACTATAGCAATTTTTAAGATCTTGAATCAGAAGATACTTCGTAATAAATGGTATTAATTCTGGTGGAATAAGATCAAGTAAATTAAGCATGGCAGAGTATTATATTCAATAATGTATTTTTTATCACTTATTAATAAAAGATAATTTAAAATATATGATGACTGAAGTTAATAACAAGTCTGTTATAAATGAAGCAATGGTTAAAGATAATATCAGCGGAGCTGGGACGACCAATGTTCACCTGTCTCAAGAATTACATGAAAGTATTGAAACAGTGATCAAGTCTTTTACAAAGTGACAGAATACTATTAATGCGATATCCAGTATTGTTAGTCAAGTATCAGATAAAAAAAATTCAGATTTCTCTCCGCCAATTACTGGAGATAGTGAAACCCAAGATTCAGCAAAATATTATAAACATGATAGCAAACCTGGATATTTCTCAGCAACATATTCCATGCAAAGCTAGAAAAAAACCAATTTTTAATGATACCACATCTGAATCCTCATCCACATCTGAATCTGGGTCTAGTTCTGAATCATCTAATGATGATGAAGATTTTACTGTGAAAGTGGTGAAAGCAAAGAAGCGTGATTAGTTATCATCATTATAAAGATGGAATGGTCTCGCTTCTTCAGGCTTTTGTCCCCGCTTCCTGTAGTTTACCACAACATAGTTTTGTACTGAAGAAGTATGGTTGTCACAAGAATGCCAAAGTGCTTCCCCAGCAATTGTATAAGCGTGGGCCATATTTTTCACTCCATTTGTCACTACAGCATAAACTGCTCCTAATTTACGTAAATATTTAGGAATTAAATCATAGTCTTTTAAAAATTTATTAAACCATTTAACTCCTGGCTTACCTGGATCACCTATTTGGCAAGAAGATATTGCACGCTGTATCCAAGTGAGTAATTCTTTGGCACGTTTTTGGTTCTTTTCCATAGATCTAAATTTTCTAGGTATATCTAGTTGACCCCGATTCTTCACATATCCTGTTACTGTAATACGTAAAGTTCTAAGTTCAGCAGGACGGATACAAAGCATCACCATGACATCTGCAAGAGCCTGATAATCGGGTAAAGTTTTAATATCATACACATTTAATCTTTCCTTAACTGATTCTAATATAAATTCATTTGAATAATTAATACATTTAGTTTTAGCCTTTTTCTGATTGTTCATTTGGATTTTGTTAGCTTCTTCTGTAATATCTGGAAATTTCGTGGCCTCGATAATCTGGAATGAAGCACCAATATTTCTTAATTCTCTTCGAAGCCGGAAAATACGTGATGAACCAGCATTAGCATTTTTTGCTGTTAGGGCTAAGGCATAAGCTTCAGCTCTTACATCTCTAATAGTAAGTTTATTCTGTAAAATCTGTTATGCTATCTCTTCAATAGTCTCCTCTATTCTTTTTGGGGGTTTGTTGGAAATTACAATATTTAAGGTTTTATCAGAAATACTTCCACATTGTCCATTTGTCTGGATTGTGAATAAGGTATTTACTTGATCCTCACTAAACCTATATCTATTTTGCAAGATTCATTTTGCTTTCTCTCTGATAATCTCTTCTTCTAGATATTTTTGGGGTGATGCTAGAACTATTCTACAATTACCTTCGACAATATTTATAGTTTTATTTTTCCCACTTCTCTGATTAGGTATCAATACACCTACCTGTTTACTGCTAAATTTAAAACCATCCCGAAGGTGTCTGCAAGCCTGATTCTGCTTCTTATCATTGGTAAGGTTTTTAAGAAATTCTGAGGTATATTGACTGAGATCAGATATACCTATCTTAGAGCTAAGATTGTATTTTTCAATGATTTTAGTTGTAATGGCTAACATAATTAAATGTTATAATAGGTTGAGTAGATTATGAACAGTTCTTTAAGTTATATACACCATAAATATTCTTTTTTCAAATCGAAATTAATTATGCTTTTTTCTTCTATAACGTTGCCTCCAAATTCATATACATAAGCAATTTCGAGTAACACAAAAATCTCTTCTGTGATATAATATAGCTGTATAGACAAATTTTTTCCAATCATGTTTTTTAAGCATCACAAAAACCCCATTTGTAAGATATATCATAGGTCATTATTAAATAGATACATATATTAACAGATATCAAACATATTCTGTCACAACTGTATATCACAACTGGGAGCAATCTCTAGTTCGTCAGGTAAGAGTTTACTATACCTGTAATGCATATCCTCACCATTTTCATAGAATTGTCCTTCATCTGTTTGGTATGATGGTAACTTTGGTGCGCTTTCTTTATCGAACATACCTACTAGATAGTAATGTGTGTGCTTGTTATTTGTACCTTTAAGTTTTGAACCTTAAGTTGCATAAAGTGCTGAATTTAATAAACCAAGTTTTGCTCTATCTGATTTTAAGCCAGATTTTTTAGCACTGTGAGATGCATCTGTATTATCAAAAACCCGAGCCATTTTTGGTACTAAATTATGGAGGTATTGTATCGATTCGGGTGTATTTAGGCATCTTTTAAAATTATCGACTTTGTATCTGCTTCTATCATCGATATCTCTAATAGGTGTGCAAGTTTTTATTAATTCCAGACAGATTCGATGTTTTTCAGCTCTAGTAACAGTTGTGAACCTATCATTTCTATAATCTTCACGAGTAATTGCCTCAACTGCAGTCTTATTATCAATACCTACATCTCGTAATTTCCGAAGATTTCTAAACCACTTCATTTCATCATATTTACCATAATCCATAATAAATTCTTCGGTCAGAGATTCGGATGGTATCCTATAACATTCTGCAATATGATACCGGTTTAAAGCATGTATTTCTTTTAAAGTCTTCTTTAGTTTGTTTTCTAGGTGCTCAGTCATCTTGTGATTAAGAATATTGGCATTAGTGATATCTGAAATTTCCTCTGCTTTAATAACAGAAGAACATATTTTTACTATTTCAATTAATGATACAGAATCTTCTTCGGATTTAGGAGTAGCTTCTATTATTGAAATAACCATACCTGCTTTTTTAAGAAAATCTACTATTCTCCATCCAAATAAGCGACAAGATTGAAATTTCTCCAACATATATGCTACCCATAATCAGATAGTTGGGACATCTTTATTTCGAATGATAGACTCTACATTTGGAAATACCCCTCTATTCTGGAGTTCCTGAGGAAGACATTCTCACTTTGCTTTCAATAACCAATTAAATAATCCCTCTTCTGTAATTGGAACATTTGAAGATCTTTGCTCAATATAACATATATAATCTTTAATGCTTCGCATACGGAATAACATCTGGTTAGTCCCAGCATTTGTTTCTATATAACTATTAAAGAGACAGAATGCTCATTCAAACTTGGAATTGATGCAAGAAATGCCTATTTTTAAAGTGCTAGTATATGCAAGAAGATCCACCTCTTTTCATGCTTCTTCTACATCACTAAAATCACGAGTCTTTTTTACTGGATCAGATTTATCATAATAATTTTTAATACGTAACCCAGGAAAATCAGTCCTAAGAGCACGAACAATTTCTTGCATATCTTTTCTGAGGTGGCAGATGAGTGATGCACTTTTTCGTTTATCGAAAGGTAATGAAGACATCTGCTTTGCCCAATTTCAAAGTTTGGTTAATACAGTTTCTTTATTAGATGCTAAGCGGAATGTTTTACCTTTCTGGGGTTGGTAAATGTTGTGAATAACTAAGAAGGGTTTATTTTTACAAAGGCTTTTAATTCATTCTATATTAAGGTCAGTAAGGTCATTATCCATAACAATAATATGCTTCGCTTTGTGAATTAACTTATATAAATGCTCTCTTGATCGACCTGCTAAGTGAGTGTGGGCTTGACTAATCACAGATACTACCTCATCTAGCCATAAATCATATGGTATTGGAGGACACTCACATTTTTTCTTGCATTTACATTTATTGGTAATGCGATGCAGACTTTCTATTTGACACACTACTCTTTAATGATCTGGGAGGTTTATATCTTTAGTATCGATATCACAGTATAATTTGAGATTCAGCCTTGTAGTGACAGCACTAGAATAAGTATGTCATATAGATAAAGCAAGCAAATTTATACTTTCAAGAATAGTAAGGTGTTCTAAGGTATGAGTTTTTTCCATCCCCCAAGGTGAGCCTACATATACATCCCCTTTATTAGGTAAAGGTTCTACATATTGCTCTTTATAAACTTCTGTTGCAATAAGAGGGAAATCGCAATTAACCCAAGCTGGCATTTCTAAGAAAGGCCATGGAAATTTTGAACCCTTTATCTTACGTATAACCGGTGGTGGAATATTATTTTTATTTTTCTGTTGGATTTTTTCTGCAATAGATAGGTTGTTGAAAATTACCCCTTGTTCATCTCTACTTTGTTGAAAACATTTCACAATGAATGATCCATATCCATATACACAACCATACTATTGCTGATCTTTGTCATGTGTGCATTTACAAATTGGACATTCTAGACATGCTTTTCAGCTAAAGTATACGAAATATTAAGAATTTTTTTCTTTGATATCTCAGCTTTCGAGATAATCAGAATATTCCTGCAGAACTTGATTCGCATATTTTTTTAATGAATCATGTTCTACTATTATTTTCTTCTGATTATTTATTTTTTCTGCACTAAGTAAGTGAGGTCTTACTTCGAATCCTGCACTATCAGGTGGTTGTACTCTTGCATGATCAAGTTCATCCCATCCATTATCTAGTGAGAATTGGAGTATACGCTTTGCATGATCTTTTTTTGCTGATCCAATAAGACGAAGATTAAAGTTTCGCCCAGGTAATCCTCGATCAATAAACTTATCATATTTTTCTCTTGTTAATTTATGTACCAGTTTTGTAAATTGTTTGAGTTTCTGATAATCAATAAGGAGAACTGGTGCGTACAGGAGATGGTAACTGCATTTACTGAAATCAGAAGATGTGGCAATTACTAATCCTTCGAAAATCTCTTCCCAGCTACAATTAAGAATCATATATAATGCTCTTATGTATAAACAACAAATACGAATAAATACATTCTTTGCATTAACTTTTTCAGATTCTATATTTTCTTGTAATGCATCAATATTAATTACAGCCCTTAGTGGTCGTTGCCCGTTAATACATTCATGTATTTCAGATAAACCATATACTTCTGAGATATCATCTACAACTGAGTATTTGTAATAACCTCTTGCTCTACTTGAATGACTAATCTATCAACCAATTCTTCCTGTGTGTACGCATCGAGCAGACTGATTCCTTCTTTTGCTCCATAATTAGGTAAGAGATAGTCCCATAAATATACATCTTCCAATGAGTCTTTAATGTTTGACATATATCTAGCAGACAAGGAGGCAATTTCGCAGATTTTATTTAGTAAGTCTTTTTTTGTAAATTTATCATTGAATTTTTCCTGCCATAAAATATATGTCTTATTGAACTTTTGTTCTTCTACTTTAGGGGGTTGGGATGACAGAGACTTAATAGTACTGGTCTCAATATCAGGCTCATAGTCGGAACCATAATCACTGTAATTTTCTGATTCACATTCAGATATATTATCACTATAGACATCTGAGTCACTTGAATAGTCATCAGTTTCCCCACCCCCGTATCACTCGAGTTGTGCACTTTGTGTACTCATTTTTTGTATTGATATTTTCTTTAGCTATAATAGTATTGGTGGTATATTATTCACAAGGAAAAAGTTTAAAATAAAAATTAATTCTAGAGTATAATTATCAATATCTTTATCGACTAGTATATAGCTATGGCATTTTATCGTTGTCTCTATATTCTTAGGACTAGAGAAGTTTGCAATCAAGATTGCTATCGGCCTGAAGGGTGTAAAGTTTATTGGAATTCTCCTGCGCATGTACCCTGCAAAGAGTGTGGTAAATTGACATTATCTACTTATGACTTTTGTGATATATATGCTAAAAAATATCGAGCAAGGTCGGGGTATCATAGGAAAAAGCTTAAGAAACTAGGCCAGGTACAGATGTAGGTTCAAAGAACCATGATTCGGAGAATCGCCTATGGCCTGCTCTGCAATAGTAAGTAATAGCAAAAAATATGTGATTGGGTATTTAACTTCAGAAATATATTATATAAATTATGAAAGAAGAATACCCATTTCATGATGTGTTTTCAAGTATATTTTTAGATATGTAGTTAGGGTATTTAACTTCAGAAATATTATATATAAAAAATGGAAGAAGAATACCCTTTTAATGATATGGTTTCAGGTATGTTTTTGGTATGTGTTCGGGTGGTATAGTCTGCGGATTTATTATGCGAAGAATGGGCAAGGCCTTATATATAAAAAATGGAAAAACACACTACTTTAGCATATATATCGGGTATGTTTTTGGTATGTCATCAAGGGTATTTAACTTTGGAAATACTATATAATAATTATGGAAGAAGAATGCATCAAGTTTTAGTGAGATAAATGAAGAGGATTGTGATCTCGATTAGTGAATACTTTGGGTATATAAGTTCAGTAATATATTATAAGAATTATGGAAGTTATATACCCAGTTGATAGTATGTGCTCGGGGTATATAAGTTCAGTAATATTATATAAGAAAAATAGGAGTTATATACCATGTTTCAATATATGCTTTCAGGGTGTATAACTTCAGTAATATTATATAATAATTATGGAAGTTATATATCTGCTTTCCTATATAGTTAACCTATTTTTTTACTATGTATGTTCTCAGGACATATTTCTGGTATCAAAAATTATGGCAATCAAAATCAGTATACTTTAATATAACGTACTCAATAACATTTTTTGATAGCTGATTCAGTAATATGTCAAGGCTGGCATAAGGTCACGAATACTATTTCAGCACTATGTGCCTCAACTCTGACCCTAATTGAGGAATTAACCAGAAAGCTAAGGCACTACATTCCAGGTTTGGGCATAGTTCTCACATCGGGCCCACAAATGATAATATATGACTGGATGCATCATCAGATATATTTTTTACCCATGTAGTCTAATGGCAGAAATCGATCATGATTACCAAACCAGCATACAAATAATGATATTGAATTTGGGTTATAATAAAAAATGCAGAAAGACACTAATGACGATGTCACATTTCTGTCATCATGACACATGCGGGATGATGACACAAACACAAATCTGTCGTCATATTTTTGTGGGTCATGGGTACCCAAGTGTGATGACGAACTTGTAAACCAATCATCACTCGAATGACGATGCAAGCGTGAATCATTCATCACTCGAATGATGGAGCGAATACTAATACATCTCTGATGACGGTGATGCATTTCTGTCGTCACAACACTGAAGATGGTGACACATTTCTGTTGTTATACCTGAGTAGAAATAACCTAGACTAAGTGAAAATAACATAATTATGTTATTTCCACTAATATCATATTCTTGCAATAAAACAACTTTCTACAAATATTCTCAATAATGTTTATAAAAATGTTCAAATCTCAATTCAACAATTTATTAATATGTCTAATTGAATTATTATCATGACAGATGGATGAACAAATATTCGACAGAATCATCTTGTGAATTTTATTGTTATTGGAAAGGATTGAAGATCAGAGCTTATTAAAATTAAGAACACATTAGGAGAAAGCCAAACATCAATTACTATATTTAAAGATCTAGAAGAAGTTTTAATGCAAATTGGAATTAAATGAATTAATGCAGTTATTACAGATAGTGCTGCAAGTTATGTTCGTATGAAAATTATACTTGTATAATAATATCCTAAAATTATAGCTTTATCATATATTGTACATGAATCGAATCTTTTAGTTGGTAATATGTTGAAGCATACATATATGAAGTCAATTATAAGTTCTGCTATTAAAATTATTGTATTTTTTCAAAAAAGCACTCAGACTATTCAAATTATTCGAGTTCACTCTAGTGATAACACATTTAGATTTACTCTTCTAACTTTTACTCAATGGAATTCTTTTTTCATTTCATACAACAATTACAAAATAAAGAGCAATACTTAAAAGATATGACATATGAAATGAAATTCTGATTTGATAAAACTATTATGTCAATACTAAAAAATAATAAATTCTGAAATAATTTACAAGTTATAATTTATATATTAAAGCTATATTCACTTACTCCTATCACCTTAGAGTCTCAATATGCTACACTAACTGATGCAGTTCACTTATAGGCTCAAACACAAATAAATACTAATATGATTGATAACAAAGATTTTCAACTTTATGTTAATACATATATTTAACATAGATAGAATCGAATATATAATTCAATTTTGCTTATTTGTTGGTCACTTCATCTAAGATATATTTTTACAAAAACTATTTGTCCAGAACTTACAACTATTATAAAAAAAGAATCAAGTATTTTATTTGAAAACTTATTTTCTGATAAAGATATTAGAAAATTTCGTATGCAATTAATTGATTGAAATAACAAAGCATATCCTTTTGATTTCGAAGGTAATTGGGATGAATATTTGGTTAGTAATCTAATATATTTTTGAAATAATTTACAAAATGAAGTACCAGAATTATCAATTTTTGCTACTCGCATAATGTCAATACCTCCTACTTCAGCTGAATGTGAATGTTTTTGATCAGTTATATCAAATATCCATTCTTTGTAACATAACAGATTAATCAATAGACATGCAAGCAAATTAACTTGTATTCATTGGCATATGATTCAAGATAAAAATATTAAAAATCATGATGCTAAAAAGTCTCGAGCTATTCAACAATTTAACAATAATGAAAATGAAAATGTTGATAAGAATCATTTGATCTAGAAAATGAAGATGAGTTTTATAATTTAGAACAATTAGAAAATCTAGAAAAAAACATAATGAAAACAATTGAAAATATTGAAGAGTTTAATGCTAATGATGAAATTATTTACAATGAAACAACTAGTGAATGTAGTACTCAATCTTCATCTCAAGTCAACTTTCAGTATGAAAATACTTTAGAGAATTGGTTTCTTCTTGAAAAATTTGACAGCATTTTGCTTTAAAAAAATATGATTATTTTTTTCATAGAATTACTACATATATTTAGCAGTAAAATTTTTGCACAATAACAAGCTATAATTTATATACAAAAAGTTAATATATTTTATGCTAGCATATAAATAAAAAATTATAAATTGCTTTCCATATTTGATTTAATATATATTGATATAGCATATTTGATTTTTAAAATTTACATATTATTACTTATTAGGTAAAAAATGATAAGAAATAATTAATAATTATAAATAATAATATATTACTAAACTTGTCTATTACTAAATGTGAGCAATTGTTGTAGTAGCTTATACTTTATACTGAGAATTTGACCTATTTTATTATAAAATTATAAAATTTTAGAGGGTTTTTTTTGTAGTTTTTTTTTATAATTAGGTTAGAGTTAGTACAGTAAAACATATCTAATGTTTATTAATAAAGTGTTATAGCTTTTTTAAAACAAACTAAATCAAAAAATCCTCTGATAATTTGATAGATTTTTAAATAAACTACATTTCTGTTAGAAGATTTTTTATTCATTGTTTTTAAAAAGTTAAAGTTTATATAAGTTTAAAAAATTGATGTTTAATATAAAAAAAAGAAAACATATATATATATTTATCCAATCAAAATCAATTACACAAAAATTGGCCAATCAGAATTGATTATATAAGCAAAAATTGGTGCCTATATGTATAGAATAGATGTCTTTTACTATCCCATACTATATTATTAATAAAAGAGTATATAAAGATTCTAGTAGATATTATAGATTTAAATAAAGACCCTAATCTTAGTATAAGTCACTACAATTATTTTTACGAATCATAAGTGAAGTTTGAATATCAGAACTTGACAATTAAATTTCAGGAATAGTAATACATCATGATAAATCATAATTGCTTTAAGGGTAGGGTGTAATATTTTAAAATTATATATAAACTTAATGATATATTTTTTTTATAATTTCAATTATAAAAATTTTTACTAATTAAATATTTTTTAAGCTTCTAAGTAAAGTTTTAGAGTAAGTTCTTGTGATTTTAACAATAGTAAAATCATTAAAATTGGCATAAAACTCATCAATATATGAATTTTTAAAGATTAGATATGAAAATTTACTATTAAAATTTTTTTATAGTTTTTCAGAAATTAGCCAATTAAAGTTGGTTTTTTTGTATAACCTTGAAAAAAACATAGGACTTCCTAGAAGAATTCAAGATATATACAAATAGAATTTTTTTAAAGTAAACTTCTTATAAAATTTTAATATAATAAATAACTTATTTAAACCTATATATTATTAAATTTTGATAAAAATTAATTAAAAAATAAAAAGTTTTATTAGTAATATATTTTTAATTTACTATATAAAAATCTATTATACCATCTGGATTATATAAAAAATAATCTATGTATATTCTACCCTTAAGATTGGAGTGTTTAAAAGTGCAAAAGTCTAACTTTGGCTTAGTGATATAGATAGGCTGTACATTTTAATATCCAAGTTCTTTTTTTATATGCTCAATGTTAAAGTTCAAAAATGTCTACACTTTTACAGAGTTTTATATGAACACATAATTATAAGTAAGGATACTAACCATTTTTA